GAAATACAATAAAGATATTAGGAAAGCGAAGAGAATTTCGTGGAGGGCGTTCTGCGAGGGCATTGATGAACTCTCCAGCAGTGCGCATCTTCACAGGGTGCTTTCCAAAAAGTAGCAGGAACGGCCTGATGGCTAAATGACTGAGAACGGAAAGCAGACGTTGGAGCTTATGGCGTCAACGCACTTTCCTGACTCGGAGATTCTTCGGAATCACTTAAATGCGGTCATTGAACCGAGGGCATCCTGGCCCAAGAAGGATGACTGGCAACGATCCCGTCTGGTTTTCACGATGGGCAGGATTAGATGGGCTGTTTTTTATTTTAGGCCCTTCAAATCTTTAGGTGATGACGGGATATATTATGCATTTTTGCAGAGGGGTTTCCAACATATCGCTAGAGCACTGTTAGAAATTTTTCGTGCCAGCTATGCGTGGGGTAACATCCCTCAGGCATGGAGGGTGGCTAAAGTGACGTATATTCCGAAGGCGGGTAAGCGACCAAGCAACCACCCAAGGTCTTTCCGTCCAATCAGCCTTACTTCTTTTCTATTGAAAGCAATGGAAAAAGTGATTGATAGATTTATACGGGACGATGCTCTGGGAAGCAATCCCTTGCATGAGTCTCAGTACGCCTATCAGTCGGGAAGGTCTACTGTACTCGCTCTGCAGGGTCTGGTGGGGGTCCTTGAAAACTCACTGGAAGTGCGGGAGGTGGCAGTTGGATTCTTCCTTGATATAGAGGGAGCTTTTGACAACACCCCACATCATGTCATCTGTGAGTCGTTGCACAAACGAGGGATTGATGCGACCACGAGCAGATGGGTTAATCGGATGCTACAGGATAGGATTATTAAGTCTACCATAGCTGACGATATACTCTTCATCTCCGCTTTCGCCCCTCCTGTGGTCCATTATAGTGAATGATTTAATCGCTGTTCTCAGGAGCTACGGAGTACGTGTCTGGGGATACGCCGACGATGCGGCCTTCGTCGTACGGGAAAAATTTGAGAGTACTATTTCTGATCTTCTACAGCAAAATGTACGTGTTGTGCGAAGGCGTTGGGTTAAATATAAATCCAAGCAAGAGCACTTTGGTCGCCTTCACCAATTCTGTTTGGTGAACGTATTAGTTACTCTATTGAGGTCTTCTGAATTCGTCTCTCCTGGAATATTGATCGTCTCTCCTGGAATACCCATATAAATAGAGTTATCGAGAGGACTACGGCGGCCTTGTTGACGTGTAGGAGCTTTGTCGGGAGGACCTGGGGAATCAGTCCCAGGATAGCACTGTGGCTATATACGGCCCTTGCTAGGCCCATCGTCACCTAAGCGCCGATTGTATGATGCCGTAAGGCTCAGCAGGCGGGTGTGCGGGCCAAGATGGAAAAGCTACAGAGGCTGGCCTGCCTGGGAGTGACCGGGCCAATGCGGACGGCTCCATGTCGGATACCTGTCTGCCGCGGTACAACTGCGACCACAAGTACAGGGTTCTGTTTCCCGATATCGATGGATGTGGGATCGGGGTGGCCCGGTACTTGATTCAGGTTCGAGCGTGTGGTATGCGGACGGGTCCAAAAGGGAGCCGGGTGTATACGGTGTCCGCCCGGACACGCGTATATATGCGACCCTTGATCCGTATTGCACAGTGTTTCAGGCCGAAATACATGCAATAGAGATTTGTCTGAGAATCAATTTAGAAAGGGAGTATAGAAACCGTACCATCTATGTGTTCTCGGACAACAGGGCTGCGCTGCTGGCGCTTGGTTCACCTCAGGTTACATCCAAGCTGGTCTGGGGCTGCCTTGCTGGACTTGTGGAATTAAACAGAGAACAGAGTCACGCTCATTTGGGTGCCGGGCCATAGTATCCATGCGGGCAACGAAATTGCTGATAAGCTGGCGCTGGGGGGATCTGGGGCTGACTTTGTGCAGCCGCTGCCTTTCTGCGGCCTGCCTTCTTCCGCCGTGGGGGCCAGGCTTGCCTGCCTGCTCGCCGCGGAATGCGGCCGTCACTGGCGGAACACGAAAGGGTGTCGTCATGTGAAGGTGTTTCTTTCGGCGTACTCCAGCGGATTCACCGCGGAGTTGCTGGGGATGTGCAGGAGCCGGGTTCGTATTATAACCAATTTCTTCACGGGGCACTGCCCAGTGAAACGTTCGGGAACTGTTGTCCAGCTCCCTTAGGGATATCTCCGGCTTTGTTGTTGGGACGGGGATACTATAGGTGGGAGCGTGGGGAGGGTACAATAAGTCAAGAATGGCTGCGGTGGCTTGGGGGGTTACTCCTGGTCAACAGAATATAGTTTCAAATGACACTGAGGATTATAACATGAATGTTGTGGTGTACGAAAGAGATAAAGTGAAATTCGGTAGATACATATATATAGTACAATATATAAAATATATACATATATAGTACATGCTCAAACTGCAGACGACTCGTTCAAGTGATTATACAAACTTCATATAAAAGTTAATACATTCTTCACTAAGGTGAAGGGATAGGGTATAGAAATACCTTAAAAGAAATATGGTGTGCGTAAGATTAAATTTATTTGACAAATTTTATTATTTTTGTAATTTATTCAGATTATTCCAACATTATTAAAGAATTTGGAAATTAATGTAGCAGCATGAATTTAATTATAAACTAATTTTAAATATTGAATTATGAATTTTTTAAATATTTTATTTGTATTAGATTTAAAGGTATTTAGGGATTAGTTTTTTAATTTTTTATAAGCTTTATACATAAATATAAATACATAATAGGCACACACTTGTATACTATAATTAAAATTTTAGTTTTGTTGCTTGAAGACCTATAATAAAATTTAGCAAAATTTTATGAATTTTTAATAAGAACACAATATTTCGAGTATATTATGCAGCAATGAAATACTCGTAAAGATGAAAAATATTTAAATTAATATTTTGAAAGCTTATATAACAAATCGTTTATAAAGCGAGTGTGACAAATTTAGAACGTAAATTTCATTTTGTTTTTATAATGAGCTAATTTTGTGATTTTCCTTTATTTCTATTGCAATTTGAATAATAAATAGCATTAATGTTATAAAATTTTATTTATAAATACAAATTTTGTAATTTTATTTGAATTTCAAAATGAAATTCAAAATGCTAAGAGCTAAATAATTTCTATATTATAGGGATAATTTAATACCGTTTTTAGATTTATAAAAATAAGGATTCATACACATATGCTATTCACATTGAAACATCCAAATTTTAAAGAAATCAAGTTCCAGAAAAACTAATATTATAGATTAATCTGGATAATATTCTAGCTTTGCTCAAAACGTTTTCAATTTATTCGAAAAATTTTCATATAAAAATTTCATGAATCGAAGTGAAAACTTTCAAATATAAAAATAATGGGAAAAATGAGAGATGAGCATTTCAACTCTATGATACCCGATGCTCTCTGATTATGCACCAGACTTATGACATTAATTATGGTGGTTTGGCTTTACAAGAAATGAATTAAATTATCTAGGGTGGTGTTGAACAAATTGTTGTTGAAGTAGTGTTGAACATGGTATACCTGGCTGCTTTTGTAAAACTACTTAAGAAATAAGCAAGAGAAATCATGAAATTTGGTGAGCTTCACTCAGCTAGTTTTTTAGTTGTCATTGAGACGACCAGACAGGCAAACAGTCGAAAAGGCGGACTGAGATGGGTAAATTGGCTCAGAATTCGATGTTGATCAAAATAAGTGTATGTTTTACTTACCAATACGTTGATCAAAAAAAGTGTTTGTTTCTATATCTCAGACTATTATTTCTTATTGTTACAGACGTTAAACAAAATTTATAATAAGCTTCGAAAATACGTTAAAATACGAATATTAAAATTAATATATTTGCGTCTGCATGTGCATATGAATTCTTACAAGATAAAAAAAGCTGCAATATTAATATTCAGCTTAATGGAATTCTATTCTTATATATATATGTATAGGTAAAGAGATTTTATTCTGAAGAAAAGTACTTTCACCATATTATACCATACTAAACGTTTTTAAATCTATTTCAGAATTTTAATATTAAATATTAAATTTCATAGCTTCGATCTATTTCCTTCATATATTTTTTTTTCGATATATTATTTTGCATTACACTCAGAAAAACTACACTTATACATATATCCAGTTTTATGTATATCAAATATTCGTTCATTTTCCAAGATAAATGAATTTAATATCATTTCATATTTTTTAATGTTAAAAACCTAAGAAGATAAAAATAAAAAGGTGCTTATCTTTCTGACATCTTCTCGCTTTAATAAAATCGTCTTCCGACAATTTACATATACATGTACTAGTTTATAGTGTGGTCTATATGCACTTTATCTGTACTTACAATTTATATGTGGTGGATGAGAATCGTGATGAAAATGCATACGAAGAGAAATATAAGAGTAGAAAATAAATCTAAACAGTGCAGACCGGTTAACAGGTTCCCCTTAATATCACACTTCGGGATAATAGATGGGTTTTTGTTAATTTCACATAGGTATGCTGTCAAATATTAAAATTATTAATTTTTTTAGTAAAATTTTTGGTAATTGCTATTTTAAACAATGTACTTTAAATGAAGTTAAACATTTCTAAAAACTAGAATCGATAATTTTAAGTGAGGTGTGAATTTAATAGAGTTGCTGTCACCCGATTGCAAGTAACAATGTACAGAAACTTTTGTGTCATGACATTTATTTAAAAATAATCTAGTTGTGATGATATTCGGTGCGGTTCTCTGCGGATTCCACTGTATTTGTTATATGTACATATAAAATATTAAGGATGTGGTATGTATACATAATATATGTCTATGTTTGTGTAATAATGTTTATAAAAATAACATGCATGTATGATTATATTTAATCTTCTATTGAAAATAAAATGCAAATCTTGATTTTATTTATTTATATACGTATATATATATGTATATTTTACATATACAGACATATTTGTATTTACTTACTTTAGTATATCCGAAATGACTTAACATATCAAGCCAAACATCCGCTTGATGATAATATGGTGGTACTGTACGAAGGAAGGATACATGAATATTTTTATCTGAAAAGGCAGCATCTCTTGATGAAATTCCTATTACTGGAATTTGATAAAATCCACTTGTATAACTAACAGCAGCAGGTGAAAGATCTCCGGTTTCTTCATGTGATACAACAACTGCATAAACCTTTTAAGAGGAAAAAAAATATTTAATTTTTTTTTAATCATATTTACATATTGTCGTTATATGTATGTATGTATATGCATATCCAGTATATAGAATGCATTGTAAGAATGTAAAAATATTTCGTATAGTGTAATAAGATTAAAGGAAATAACATTGGAATCTAACATTTATAATGGAATTGAAATCGAAAAAAATAAAGCATTTTTAAGAAATCAAATTCAACATTCAACAAACAAAAAATAAAGCTCTTATGTAAACGTAGTACACAATCGACCATATTGTGAACCATTCCAATGGCGTTTACATAATACTAAAAAATTCAATTGTATTAGTGTAATGCAGAAGGGTGAAAACGTTTTGGGTAAATTTGTGCTGTAAATTTTTAAACATAACTTTTCAAAATAAACTTAAAAAAATCAAAAACGGTCTTTCATTAGATCTAAAAATATAGCAGTAGCAAAGTCTTGCTACATTTTTAGATCTAATTTTTAGACCTTTGCTCGAATTGCCAAAGTCTAATTTCGATTATAAAAAATTTATTGGTTCATTGAATTCTCAATTACAGCTGATATGTTGAATTTCAAAGCAAAATGTTATTGCTGTTTTATTTATTTGTCGAAATCTGTATCGTAAATTCGCCCTCCAGTTAAGGTCGATTTGGCCAAATTTGATTTAAAACATTTACATAAATAAAATTATTGTGCAACTAAAAATTTTGATTTTATTTACTCTTCCTTCATTTTTATTACACTTACTCTTTCTTCATTTTTATTAGACGACACCTTTGCCATGAATTTGTGACAGAACTTTAAGTGCTTTCCTACAAACAAGTAGTTGGAGTTGGTTCGTTCAGACAGTCATTATGTGTTTTATGGGATAACATTTCTATTGTATAGCAAAATATTTTATGTGTCACGTAAAAAAATATGTATTAGAATATTTTGCATGTGTGTCTATGGATTTGTGAATTTTGCATTCTACATATTTATTTAAAAGTTTAAGGTTCGATTGCATTTCTTTTTTATTTTGTTATGTTCAAAGTGTATTCTATTACTATAGATTTTTTGTAGTCATATGAATATTGCATAATATTGTAGAATGTATACACGAATGTAATCATACAAATATGTATGTTATGTATGCTTTAAGTTATATAGGATTTAAGCAATCTAATGTCACGTTGAGTGAACATAAGAAAGTGTAGAATGTAATCAATAAACAAATATAAAAAAAAAATATATTTGAGTACATGTTCAAGCTTTTGTACTTATATCTTATTATCACATATGTATTGTGTGTTTGTGTGTATTTAATATATAAATCTGTCATGATTTAAATTTGGTATGTCATTGTTAGAATCAAAATAATATATTTTAGCTTCTTTTTCCTGGTTCTGTGGAATGGAATCAAATTTTCTCTTATATACATACGTGAATTAGATTTTCTCAAAATTCAATGCATATTGCACAGAGACGGGATGCTATTTTGAAAAAATACAGTCAATTAGTTCAATGGTTTTTGGCTGCAGCACATTTTATTTTTATAATTTGAGCGGGAAAGTAAGACTTTTGGGACTTTTAGCGATCAAAAAAAAAAAAAAACGCAAAGCTCAATTTTTGGTATTAGATTTGCGTATTTGCCCCACGAAGGGTACACATAGGCTAAACGTTGTCGCCGGCTTGCTCTAGTACCGCTGCATCTCTCCTCTTCGGCTCCCCATTCGAACCAGCCCGAACTCCTCGAAAACATGCTTAAATTCATAACGCTTACATTTACTAATTTTGCAATGCGCCCGAATAAGTACGATCCAAGAAAAGCCAAAAACTATAAATATCTTCGAATTTTGAGAGACTGCGGTTTGACTGGGAAAGAAATATTGGGAAATATTATTATTAATAAAAGCTTTTTACTTTGAAACGAATATGGGATGGGCGAAGGGAAGAACCGACGAACGGGTAACGTTGCACTAGTTGGAGATTTTTCTTGAATATCTTTTAAAGATCCTGTGTACGATTATAAAAAAATATTTTTTTTTTTACATGTTATGAATTTTGTTTACTTGTGCACTACTCTAAAATTAGTTTTTCCTTTTACAATATCATATTCAAATATTTTTTTTCAATTTTAATTAATTTTACAAGTTCCAATGAATAAAATAACGTTAAAGAAGATTTTTTTAAAAAAATACTTGACTAAAACTATTTACAGTATAATTGGTTATTTGCCAGATTTTAAAAGTAAATGTGCACATACTACAAATTTTTTTTTGGATTTTTTATTATTCCATGTTTCAGCAGTTGCTTATCACCCAAAATTATTCAATATTGTATGAGAAAATTGAAGAATATAAAAAAATTCAATTGATAACTTCTTCAAATATTGTTAAATTTCTATTTCAAACTTAAATTTCATGTACTAGAACAGCACTGTAATTGTTATCATATTGCACCAATTGATTTCGAGTTTATCAAATGACGATATCTGCGTTCACAAAGCATAGGAAGAAATCCAATTTTTTCAATTAAATTTGTTAAATTTACAACAAATATATGACGCACAAGAAGCAAGATCTAGAAAAGTAAAGAATCCTGAAATTTTTAACACACTCTTGCTAATTTAATTCTTTTATAATTTTCTTTTAAATCCTCAATAATCCTAGAATTGAATTTATTGTTTAATTAATAAGAAGTTAATGAAAAATTCTAAAACTTGAAGCACAATATAAAAATAAAATTAACATTTAACATTTTAATTAATGTAGATACAAAAAATTTTAAAGGAAAACAGCGGGAAAAAAATTCCTATTCCCATAGAAAGTAAAAGAAGTCATTTGAAACTAGAAATTTTCTCTATAGAATTCATTTAGTAAATGAATTTATTAACTACAGTAGTCATAATTTCTATTTAAAGAAGAAAATTATGGTTGATTAATGAAAATTTATTCTTACTGTTTTTTTTTCCATTCACATTTAAATTTTGTTTTTTTTTTTTAAATTTTTCCTATTGAGCTTGCAGTATAGTTAGTATATTAGGATGACAACCCCTTGTTGTTTTTTATTTTACAATTGTGACCTATATTTATGAATAATTTAATTACCTTTTCAAGGATATAATAATGTATTTTGTAAAACTTAATTATATTCACAATAATTATATTATAATGCTTTTCTTTCTTCCTTCAACGTTCTTCCTTCTCATTTATGCCCACATATTTATGAATTTGTACTACAATAAAATATGTGTATGTGTATATTTAATAATTGTAGAAGTACTCGCAATACTTGTGGCAATTAGAGCATACGAAATTCGAAAGAACCAGTCGTGAAATATTTATTTTTTCTTTTTGTTGTTTTGATTCAATATGTTGAGGTAAGCGTTAGAATTGTAACAGTTTAGTGCAGTATTTTTTGATAATTTCTGTTCTTTAATGTTCCGTGAATTTGTTATATTTAGTGTAGTTGTATGTGCAATTGTACATTAATAGATTTTTATATAAGATTGAAATTTTATTATACAGGGAATATAGTTTAATAGATTTTAAGTAGCAGCCGTCCGGAAATGGTGTTAAACATGTCGAATAAACATGTTAGACATGTTCTACAGAAAATTTCATGTATCAACCGTATCACAGAATTTTTTCAATCCGATTTTACTGAAATCTCCAAAATTACCCCTAGACGTCCGAGTCATTCCATCCCCTCTCATCCATATAATTGGAGTAGAGAACAAAGAAGCATTTAGAATGAAATTTAAATCGACGTTCAATAATTAAAATTAAACCATGAGTGGCTTGCTTTACAGCAACTTCTGCACCGAAAGGCTTAATTTCTAACATATATGAGATAGAAATTAGGTTATCAACCGATTAAAAATTTATTCACAATTCACTATATAATAAAATTTCAATCTTATATAAAAATAGATATTTTAATTTAAAAACCACATTCCTTTTTGTAATTACAATTTAATTGTTATTTGAAGAATATCTTGAAATATACAATTACCAAGAAAAACATCTTATCTAGACTAAGATGTATAGACATTTCATATGTAATTATTTTAGATTAGCACAAAAGAGAAATTAAATGAAAATTAAATTAAATAAATTTTATCATCGTATAGAATGTATGAGATAAAATTGTATATAAGTAGCAGAATATAAAAAGCCATTTTAGTGAAATAATTTATTAGTCGGAGACATATAAATAATTTTTACTTTTTGAAAATTTAACCATAATTTATACAGTTTATTATGAACGTGTGTGTATGTGAGCACAATATCTTTTGTAATTATTTTCACATTCCTACATAACTATATGTGAATATTGTATTCTTGAAGAATAAGTACGTTATAGTGTTCTATGGTTTTTAGTACATTTTCAATAAACTTAGAAAAAATTTGCTTCTTAGTTTTGTTTTGTTATTTAGTCGGTTCGGTTTGTTCATGTGATAAAGAAAACTTTAACATCATTTAGGAAAGGTGAATGAATTTTTATTCACCTATAAATTCACCGAGTTTGAAAGAATATGAAAGATCACCGTCGCCAGCATGTAGGAATCAAATCAATTGTGCTCTCTCGCTAGTTGTGGGACACTGTGAATTCAAGTAAGTTGAAAGGTCTGGCAGACTGCAGCTCCATCGAAATTAGTACGCAGTTCCAGATTATCTCCCCTCTCCTGCAGTTGACAACCTTACAATCTCCCAGGAGGTGCACCGAGGCCTCCTTGTTCTACCCACAAAACTTGTAGGTACTTTCACTTTCTAGGCCCACCCTCCTAAGGTGGCCTCTAAGCCTGCTATGCTTTGTCAAGGTACCTATGATCTTCTTAAAGTACTCCTGGTTGTAGTCTCTTAGAAGATCCTTGGCCTGTCGAAGCCTCGACAGATTTTGCGCAAAAGTGCTCCTTAAAATATTATTTTTTCGAAACTGTAAATTTTATTGAATTTTGTCTAATATGAGAAGAATAAGAAAGTAACAGTATTATAAATATATATACCC